TAACAAATAATTTGTTGTGCAAAATGATAATTTCGTTAACGGACGCCCGAAGCAAACAGAAAGAAAAGAAGAAGAAAATTGAACGCAACATTTGAAGTGTCTGCGTGTGTGTGGGCGGGCAGCATGCCAAATATATTTGTTCAATTTATGAATTACATACACACATATACAAAGTATACATGTATGTGTGTATGTGTATGACTGTGCTTCAGTCTGTGTCTCTGATTAACGAAAAGAAAAAAAAAACGCATGAAGCTAACCATCTTATCTGCGTGCAATGCCGGTTGACAAGTGACTGTGTGACTACTGCATATACAAAGAGTATATATATATGTATAATTATGACATATGTAAAGTGTATATGAAATGAATATGAGTTTTCTGCAATTGGAAATGAGATCATCCACAGCCATGGAACGAATCGAATGCTGAAATGCGTTTTTATTTCTTTTGTCATTTTATCTGCGTGTGGCCAACGGAAAGTTTTACTTCTACTTTTCCTCTTCGGTCTACGGCTACGGCTACGGCTACGGCAACGACTACGGCTATGTAATGGCCAGAAACTGAAGCATTCGCCTGAACTGTCTTCCGCATTGTTGCCAAATGCAATTGGCTAAAAAATAGAATAGCGAAAGGCATTTTCAGTAGCTGCTGTCGAGCAGACTTTGATATGGGTTTCGGCAAATTGATGCTGTTTCGATTGAGAATGCAAACCAGAGAAAGGTTAAAGAGTCAGTGAGGGGGAGGTGGAAAGGGAGAAGAGTCTAGTGAGGCGAGTGATGGGGGTGGGGAGAGAAAACAGAGACAGAAGAGAATGTAGAGTAATGAAAAAGACGAGAGAAGAGAGACGAGTGAAAGAAATAGCGAAGAATGTAAAGAGAATGGGGAGGGAGATAAGAATAAGGAGACAGGAGATACGGGAGAGAGGCGAATACTTTTGAGAACGGCGAGGAAGAGGTAGGAAAGAGACAGACAGTGGGGAGAAAGGATAGAAGATAATGAAGACAGTTGAGAGACGGGAGTGAATGGGGAGGAGATAGAGATAGAGGATAATGAAGAGAGGAGAAGAAAATTGGTTTATGGAGGGAGCAGAGCGGGGAGAGAGAAGCACTGAGGAGAGAAAGAGAAGGAGATAAAGGACGAGGGAGATGAAGGATAGAGGAGATATAAGACAGATGGAAATGTGGTGTGAGAGGGAGACAGCAGAGAGAAACTAGAGAAGAGAGAAACGATACTAAGAGCAAAGTAGAGAGATAAGCAACGAGCGATGAGAGACTGCAGCCTGAGAGGAGCGACGAGACTTGCGATAAGAGAGAAAGGGTAGAAAGCAGAGAGTGGGGAAAGGAGAAGACTCAGACATGGGTACAGGTACAGGTTGAGCTGGAACTAAAGGTAAATTTAGAAGGAGAACCTAAGGTACAGTCAAATGGAAGCTGCGGTGGAGGCCGACTAAAAATTAGAGCAAAAGGCATGCAGCTGCATATGCATAGCCCAAGGTAGAGCTAGAGGAGCTAGAAGAGCTAGCCGAATCTAAAGAGTAAAAGTTGTTCATTTTATGCAACTGCAGTGGGCAACTGAAACGGGCCACTGCAACAGCAACAACAGCAACAGCAGCAGCAACAGCAGCAACTGCAATGTAGGCCAACAAGTGCGTTGAACTACAAATTGCTCTTTTCTATTATTCTATAGAGCAAGGAATGCATGGGCGCAGGCAGCTCGCAGCCAGTTGCAGCCAGCTAAAGTTTGGCCAGATGTAACACATAAAAAATAGAAAGAAAAACTCACACATAGAGACAGAAAATATTTCACTTTGTGGCCAAGTCGAAATGTGATTGAACTTAAGGTGCACATGTGCATATCACGATTTTAATTGCCTCGGGTTAGCTCTGCTCCAAGATCTATTTACAGCTAGTTGAGGCCATGGCTAAGTCCTCCTGTTTGTGATTCGTAGAGGAGGCGGAGGCAAAGGCAGGCAAAGCGATTTGTGGCAAATGGCAAATGTATTTATCGATTGCGTGTGCTAAAATGTTTTTAACGTGCTTTCCTCTGGACACTCAGCAGCGCCCTCAGCCAGGCCAGCCGAGCAGCCCGCAGTGCCTCCTCGCTGCTGCTCGTTTTGGCTGCTTGCCAGTTAATCTAAACTTCTGCTGCTGCTGCTGCTGCTGCTGCTGCTAGCAGCCCTTGTGTATAGTGGGCACAGTGGGGCAAGTGAGGCAACTTTTGCTTAGATATTTGAAAATAAAATTTGGAAAACTTAGGAAAATTTCAATTGTCTAAGACGAAAACATTTATATATATTTTCTATTATCTTTAATGTAATCACTGAAAATATTTTCACTTGGCGCACTTTTCAAATTGCTAACTTATCTATGGGAACTGGCTAGCGTAGCTATTTATCATATCATATGATTCACATCTATCGTATACTCTGCTACATATTTAATCAGAGTAGTTTTCTGCTATATAGTCTATTACTTTAGCTATCTAGCTAGTCTGTCTACTATAACTAGCTAACATAGCTATCTATTAAAAATACCTCTCAATTCTGGCCACAAATCAAATCACATTATATATTTATGATCGTTATCTAGAGCAACTATTTATTATAGCTTAGATATGAACGATATAAACCTTTCTCTCTTATACTGTGGTAGATATATAATCAGAGCTACTTTTTATCATGTCTTTCTAACATAACTGTCTCTGAATTCTAGCTAAAACCACTATCTCTCGTTAGCTAGCTAGATCTATCATAGTTCCCCAGTATTAGCTATCATAACTGGAGTATTATATTAAAATGATTATAAAATATA